TATATAATGTGGTACACAGTCTGATACCGGACACCTCCAGAACACCAACCAAAAGTAGAAAATTCCAAAATCCTCAATCCTAAAAAAATCCCAAATCCTAAAAAATAAAATTAAAAAAAAAAAAAAAAAAAAAAAAAAAAAAGTTTAGAAATGGAGAATACAACAGAAGAAATGTGAGCTTGGTAAAATGAAGCAGGTATGCCATAAATTTGATTTTTCTCCTGATTGAGATTCCTGCATGTCACTTTCAAACATAAGCTGGCTAGGGAGTTGCGGAACTACTCTGATATGCGCCCTCAAGTCGCCAAACATTTTTGGCAAGAACTCCACGCTGCCATATTGCTATCTAAATTTTTTGTCTACATTTCGAACTTTAAGCCTATAATGTCTCCAAAAACACGGTTTTCGCTAATGCAAAAACCACGTTTTGAACACACAATTTAAGCTAAAAATCCGAAACAAAAACAAAAAATTTAGATAGCAAAACCATAAAGTTTCTAACGAAAATTATTTGACAAGAGTTTATGTACACAGCGATATGTTTTCACTTAAAAAAACATCTACGGATGGCACAATCTAGGAAACGAACGAATCTACGAACTACGCACACCTCGCTTTAATAAATTAACATAACAACAATAAATTTCAAAGAATACCATGTACACAGCATCCAGTTTCAACTTAAAAAAACATCTACAAATTGCACAATTTAGACAACAAACGAATCTATGAGCTACGCACACCTCACTTTAATAAATTAACATAACAACGATAAATTTCAATGAATACCATGTATACAGCATTCTGTTTCAACTTTAAAAAACATCTACGAATTGCACAATTTAGACGGTACTCACTAATCAACAAAATAACTAAAATAAATTTCAAAAAAATTAAAAAAAAAAAAAAAAAAAAAAAAAAAAAAGAAATTCATACTAAAAAAAACAATGAAACATAACATTTCTACAAAATAAGAACAAGAATAAAATAAAATGCACTTACCATGAATTAATGCTTTTTCGAACAGCAAAAATACCAATTTCATACCGCCTTTAACATGCTGCCATGTAATCACTTTCGTATTTATATGACAGCCAGACACACTATCCAGAAAATTCATACTATGGTTTACAAATAAGTAAAATAATAAATAATCACAAATCTCTACTTCTATCATGCACAACCACTAAAAATAATCTCCCAGACCCTCTTTCCACACCTCCAAATACCCACTGCCCCTCAACAGGATGGCCATGACGATATTTCCTTTTGCCAAACTTCAATTCAACAACTTCCACCATTTTATCTTTCCCCCCCCCAGCTTCTCAGACACAGAGCATGACGCGAACCAACGAACTCCAGCGAAAGATTTTTCAACATCAACAGAGTTGCCATACAACATGCAATCGTGCCAAAAACCAGTGCAGAACACATATCGCCACATTTGATGAAATTAGGGTGTATATCAGAGTTGTACCGGAGTTGCATGGTGACCAGTAATAAAGCATTAACTTACACTACATTGATGCTGGTCAGGATAACACTTTCGTCTCTTGAGTGGTTGTATGTGGACGGGCAGGTTGGGTGCTACACATTTTGTCATACAGCGCGTAATCTTTGCGAGTCCAAAATTCTGTTGCCAGGTTCCTCCCTAACAGATAAAAGTTCTTCCATCTCTAATATTAGATGCTTGGTGCTCCTCTAATTAAAAAAAAAAAAAAAAAAAAAATGTTCTCCCTAAATCCCGATACCCAGTGCAGCTGCACCAATTTCACCTGCTTTGGTGTGGGAGTTAGCATTTTTCTCTCTGACTTAAACTATAAGTGCAGCTCTAATGTTGCCATATCTACATGTCATCTCACTAGATTTAAACTGATGATCTAAAATACAAAAATTTCTGAATTCTGGAATCACCAAAGTCCCGACGATTCCAGATCTCCAACTTTGTGTTACAAATTCTTATTTAAAGCACGGCAGAATTAAATTGAAAGTAGACTTGACAGACTATCAAATTGTCCTGTGGAATACAGCATAACATAATATTTCAGAAATCAAATATTAAATGCTTTCAGAAATGCAGTAGAAGATTATTAAATCATATGGAATAACTGCTTATCCAAGGTTATCAACAAAGCAATCCAATTTGCTGGTTATAATGTTCAGGTGCAATGGAAAAACATTTTATGTCAGTTAAAGAACAGAAAATTTTCTCAAAAATCTATGAGAAATAAAAATTCTGAATATTTAAATACGACAATATTTACTAGAGAAGGTTAATTTATAATCTTCAAAAAGGAAGGTAATTTTATCATAGAAAAGAACCAAACAAGAATTTCAAAAGTAGACTACAATGTAGAACATGATGGAGAAGATGTTACAAATGCGACTACACGTCACCACTGAAACTTAAATTTATTGATACTGTAATGGACTAATACCAATATCCAGACTGTTTGAAATGAATTTCGTAAAAATCAGCATAAAAACATAGCTTGTAAGAAATTCCAAATGAATTTCTGCTATTTAATTAACTTTAAATAATAAAAGTATCTTCTCAGCATCCAGACTAAAAGATTATGAAATATATTTGGCAAGAAGCGAAATATGAAATTAAAAAAAAAAAAAAACTGTTATCACACAATTGAAATTAGCACTGCATGATAAGCATAAAATAAAATTAGATCTATATACGAAAATCCACGAAATAGCCAAAAATTTTTATATTAAATATATAGAAATCTGACTATAATATCCACGAAATTAATATCAGAGGGAAAATGTTTGATATTTCCTTATGTTGTAATCATTTAATTAGGTTCATTATGAAAGTAATAATGTCTGATTACTTGAAAAGAATTTACATGATGGGTTTTTCTTGAAATGATTAAAAGATTTCATTATGAAATAAAGGAGAAATCATTCAGAGAAAGTATTGTATTAGGTTAGAGTAAACTGACTTGTATTATCGCAAAGTTGTTTCATTTATCGCCAAGTCAAGGAAGTGTGCAATGCCAAGTTCCTGCAATTCTCTGATGCATTTTTAAGTGAAAATAGGTTGACGTGTACATGAATAAAATCAAGGGAGTGCGCAATGCCTAGTTTGTGCAATTCTGTGATATTTTTTGAAGTGAAAATAGATCAGTGTATACATGGATATCGAGTTTGTGCAATTCTTCGACTTGTTATTTTGTGTTTGTGTAGTGACGATTTTTAGTGCTAAAATCACCACTACAGAAAGCCAAAATAACAAGTCAACGAATTGCACAAACTCGGTATCCATGCATCACCAAAAATCGCCAAGGGGTACCCGTAAATATACTTTTACATCGTATTATGAAGAATTTACACGGAATAATTAAACATAAAAACTAATTTTAAAAAATTATAACAGACTGATGTCAAATATGCATTTTTACAGTTTTTTCTTTATCTTAACTGCATACAATTTTCATTTCTGATACAGATTCTCATTCAAAATTATTAATAGCTGCTAAAGCACAATACGAAGTGATGTCAATTTCACTCCTGATACAGATTCCCAAATAATATTATTTTACACAACTTTTACTCCTGATACAGATTCCCAATAAAGGGTTTTCATCCGCAGAGAACCCGTTGGCGCTTCGGGAAAGAACCCGTTGGCGCCGTTGCATTTTTACTCGCCAAGGATGAGCTGAGCCGTAAACGTGGTTTTTAGTGTATGTAAATTCAAGTTAGCAGACAATGGTAGTAAAAATTCACAGATAATAAGTATGTAGATGTAAAACTAACAGGTTAAACATGATATAAAAAAATACGAAAATAATTGTATTAAAATTCAAGTTAGCACAGAAAACAATGTATTAAGCACGGGAAGTAAGGAAGTAGAAATTCATTTAAAAAAAATAAAAATTAGTATTGTTATACTTACGTTAACATTATACTTATAGTATTTTCTCTAATTCATATAGAATACTAATATTTCTATTACAAGTGTCATTTTTCATTATTAAGTACTTGGCCTGTTGATTGATGTATTTCGGTAAGAGCCATGCCCATGTTATAAATTAATGAATGCATGACCTTTAATACATCCATTTTACATAGTTTTCAGTATTTTTTTTTTTTTTTTTTCAAGTTACTTGCATACAGCTTAAAGCATTTTACGTTGCAACAAATACCTGTCCTTTTTCATAATATATTTCACAATACAAATAACCTTCAACAGTAATGAAATTTTCTTCAGTAGCATTGTTAAGTTAATAAAAACTAGAACTTTATACATTTAAAAATTATTTTAGGATTTGGAACCTCATGGTTCTGCGGCTTACAGCTGTTAATAATTAAGAACATAACGTGAACAGCATGTTACAAATTACATTCACCCCTCCCGCCATATTTTCTTCCTTTGATCCCGAAACTGACGAGCCTAGAACTGGCATCTTCGACGAAACTTCTTTAATTATGCGAAAATATTTCTATCTATTCGTTGTTAAAAAAAATTCAGAAAAAATAACAATAAATAAGAGAAGAATAATATAAATCTCCAAATGCGAACAACGACAACCTTCGCACAAGCGAATAAGATGAATTAGCTAGGTTACCATGTTTGAACTATTATCGCCAAAGTTGGCAATGTTTACATTTACCGGGTTCTCTGTGGAAGTGCTTCCAATATTATTTATAGTTGTTACAGTACAATTACTCTAAATCTTCTTTCACATAGAAAATGTATTTTGTAATGCATTATTTTTAACTACAACATCATTTCTAGATATTTAGAAAAAGAGGCTAATTAAATGCTTTTTTTACAAACTAAAAATTTGTTGTAAAAAGTGATTACACTTAAATAGATAATAACAATGTTAAATTAAGAAATTAGTTAAATAAGTGTTAAGATACTTTTAACACTTATTTTACAAATTATAATATTAACAAATTACTATTTCAATTGATATGATGTTCTGTCTATCATATATACTAAATTTGATTAGCTACCTTTTATATACCTGAAAAAAGAATGCATTATTTCATATTTATTTCAAAGTTTTATATCAGTGAAGATTAACAAATAGCTTAAAAATCTAAGATGACATTTCGTTATTACCATACATACACAAATCGCGTAAATGAGTTCGTTTATGTCGCACAAGAGTACTTTTATCAGCGAATGCTTTACTACATACTTCACATAAATAAGGTTTTTCTCCTGTATGCGTCCTCCTATGAATTGTCAAGCCAGTAGAATTATTATATGCTCTGTAACATATATCACAAACATACGGTTTTTCACCTAAGTGAATTCGCATGTGCCTTTTAACACTATTTTTATCTTTAAATAAATTATTACAAATTTCACACATATGGCGTTTTCTGTCTGTGTGAGTAAGTTTATGTTTAGTCAAAGAACTTTTATCACGGAATGAACTGTCACAAATATGACATACAAAAGGCCTAATGTTGGTATGAATTCGTTCATGCCTTTGCAATGTACATTTATGACGAAAAGATTTGCTACATTCACCACACACAAATGGTTTCACTTCAGTGTGAACAAGAGAATGTCTAGAAAGAAGATATTTCTTTTTGAAAGTTAAAGGACACTCACTGCACTGAAAAGGTTTTTCAGTGTTCTCATCTATAATGAGATTCATTGTAACTGAAATAACTAATTTTTGGTACAGGTTCTAAAGAATGAAAATTATTGATGAAATTATTCTACATAAGCTAACACAGTTACAATAACTGACAATGAAAGAAATATATCTTTCAAAACAACAAAATAGATGGTTAATTTTTTACGTTGAATGCAAAGAAAAACATATACAGGTTAAGGTTTTCGGCCTGATGGCAAGAGAAAAATGCTTTCTTCAAATTCAAATTTTTAAATTTTATTACTCACTGATTTCCTCTAAAAATCCTGTTTTAATCCTTTTTCCCAGCTTTTAAGTAACAGCTGCCAAATGTTTCGTGAATGAAAATCTCTCTGTATTTCATGCCAAACAGCCATCAATCACTCGCGATACAACTAATCTTTACTATCCAGCTTTTGCACGTTGGATTGTTTGGTTACGAAGGCGACAGTGCTTAAGGGACGTTGAGCAATGGCAAGTGTTTCTGGAGAAGCTTTATTTTTAATGCAAAGGTATGGGCTCGAAAAACTGTCTTAAAATATGAAATATTTATTATCCTTTTGGGTTTTTGTTTTGTTTAATTCTGACGTTTTCCTTTGCATTTCTATATTACTTAGAAATTGTATTAATGTGTGGTCGTGTAATTGAAACTTAGGTCATAGGCAGATATTTAGTTGGATTACTTAATTTCTGAAGTCTGAACAACACTTTTCCGAAGCTAAATTCTTTTCACGTTTATAAGCCTCGAACATGTAAAAATCCTGGTTTCAACAACAGAAGATCGCAATGAATTATTCAAACTATTTCGAACCCAAAATATAATCATTATGTCGTCACTCACAAATAAGAAAGACCGATTAATATCTTAATCAAAATTGTAGCTCTTATTGCTCTTAAAGATGATGTTGCAGCATCCCTCACTGATTTAGGATACTGTTTGTAAAATTGTTCATAAATTAATGATTTAGGATACACTTTTCATAAATTCATTCGTACTGACTAAGAAACTTGGCAGTTGAGGCGGATTAAATTCAATTTTTATTTAAATTGACATTTGTGGCCACAATTCACTTGGCACTCTAATCGTGACTTTCCAGAACATTTACATTTTTTAATTCTATTGCAACAAGAAGAGAGCTCACTGAAATTGCATTCAAGTAGCGCAGAGGGTGAAGCTTAAAGCATGGAATTATCCAGTATGGAAACTCACTAAGGGAAGGTTTTGGTTTAGGTTAGAAAGGTTTCAGTTCTCATGTTTTGAATCAGCTATGTCATCGGCATTATGCAAGCTGTGTGACATAGATTGATATAGAAATGACACAATTTGCAAATATTATTATCATTATTGAATAAAGAGGAAACGACCAAATTAAAAAAGGAATTAAGCAGCTGGAGTTATTAGCCCAAAGGGGCAATTTACCCAGAAGGACTATTAATGTCGTTTTGGCATTTTGCATTGATTCACTATAAATGTCGAATCACTTTGTAAATTGTTGCCACCAAATATTAGAACCCTGTATCACATTTAAAGACATTAAATATTGAAGAATCTGCATAAACATATGTATGTTATAAAACAACAGTACCTAGAGATGTCAAATTTTAAATAACGCATGTCCTCACTTGAATATGGGCATCTGGAAACTCGAATTTAGAATTTTATTATCTATTTCAGATTTTGTAAAGCATTTACGAGTTTTTGATTAAGAAACAATTTCAAAGAGAGCAATGGCAACAGTGTATGGGGGGGATTTTTTTCTCCAGTGCACGAGACTATGTGTTGAAAATTCTAAAGATATGCTCTTTTAAATATTTTGTGATATTGCTGTTGAATTGAATTTTATGGTTCAAGTGTGAAGAACAAGATATTTAATAAAGGTAACACAAAACGTTTAAAAAAAAAAAAGCCCCTTTGAGCATAATATTGTAGAGGCATTAGGTTATTTAAATACAGAAGACATGAAAAATGAGGCTTGAACCTCAGACTTCTCGAGTATGTGCTGATCGTGTTGACCATTACACCAAGAAAGCATGCTAAGAAGGGAATGCATTTTGCTTGGTAGCCATACTGACCTTCACATCTTCCAAAGGAGGTTCAACCTCCAGTGCCCACTATTGTAATGAGGTTCTCTTCTCTTATATGCATCTTTTCAGTGGTGATGTGAGTCATCAGTTCCACGGATGACAACGCTCCACCTCATTGCACAGTTGCTGTTAGAGAGTGAGGATATTGAATGCATGGATTAGCCTGCAAGGTCTCCAGATCTAAATCCCATCGAGCATGTGTGGGACAGTCTAGGGAGATGCGTAGCAGCACATAACTTATCCCCAGTAACAATTCCGGAACTGTGATTGGTGCTACAATAGGAATGGGCAGCAATACCTCAAGAACTCGTGGACAAACTTGTACAGTAGAACCTCAAGAAACGAGTTTAATTCATTTCAGCATTGACCTCGTATAGCGAATTTCTTGTATCTAGAAATAAACTTCCCCATTGAAAATAATGGAAATCCAGTTAATCTGTTCCACATCCCCAAAAATGTCATGGTAAAAATAAATTTTTGTATTAAATAACACTGTTAAATAATATAACCGTAGTTTATCCTTATGAAGCGTTCTGACTGGCGATAGGAATATGGGGAACACGAAATGGGTTACTTTGAGGATGGAAAGTCCCCTTCTGATTCAGGAAGGCTGTCTCTTCTTGGGAATTTAGTCCCACTGGAAGCAGATTCTGGGTCAGAATCCCTTAACTGTCTTTTACTTGCAGGTTGCTTTACCAGAAACTTATCTAATAACACTTGCTTCTGTCTCCTTTTTAAAATGCAACCTACTTTGTCATTATACATGTTCATGGTGCATCCACACACTGGTTTATTAGGGTAATTTCCTTCAAAGAAAATTTTCACTTCTTTCCACTTTGCCAAAACTTCTTTAATCTTACTGGAAGAGAGGGCCTCATCTCCTCTTCCCCTAACGAAAGCTCTTCTACCACCTCTTGCTGCTGCTCCTTGTAAAGTTAAGTTCGTCTGTTGTACATTCTTCACTTTGCTCCTTCACTAACTCATCCAGATCAGCACCATCCACATCTAGAAGCATACTTTTCCTCAGAGATAAATTTCTTCGACTTAGCTGCACTCAGGGTTTGTACGGTCCTTAAGAGTCCTTAAAAGTCCTTAAGTTTTTTAAATCAATTTTTGGTCTTTAAAAGTCCTTAATTTCGGCCAAAATAGGCAGAAGGTCCTTAATTTTAATCATCTGAAATTTCTGTTTGTTTTTATGACTGTCATTTGGAGTGTGAATTAGCATTTTGGAGGAATATTTTGGCGATTTGCTGACAAATATTTTTAACTTTATGGTAAATGCATTAATAATGGGTTTTAATTTGTTCATATTTCATATAAATGTGGAATAGAGTTTTCTTTCAAGAAGTGGACTAGCATTTTGAAAATTATTTCATTTTCTAAAATGAAGCACTTAAAACAACTTTTCGCTTTTGAGGTGTAAATTCTTTTATTTTCTTTATTACCCGGTGTAAATTTGGTGATATCACATTTTTCGATTTTAAGATCATTTCTATAGAAATTTTTATTCCAGATCTGGAACTTTTTGATGACTTTTTAGAACATTATAACATTGATGAATTTCATATAATGGTAATATGTTGTAATTCTATTTAGAAATAACATTAAGTAATTTTTATTTTCTGTCGTATTAATCCATTTTGTCCATTATCAATAAATCTGATATAAGCAAATATCATGCCAAGCAGAATACGCCATAGCAACGCTATTTAATAAAAATGTCTTTTTAATTTTCATGGTAAGAGTTTAAACCCCATGTATTGTCTCAGGTATGCATCTTTTTCTTTTTTAATTTTTTTCATTTTTCTTCCATTTTTTTTTTTTTTTCCAAAATATTTTTGTCTTTTTGCTGTTATAGAATTAGTAGGGGTAATTTTTCTTTAGGATTTTATACATTGCAGCTTAAAAAGTTAAGAAAGATTTGAAGGCAAGATTTATAAACCCACGATTCTAGAAGATTTTAAAAAAATGTGACAAAATGGAAAATGTCTCCATGGTATTAACACATAATGGTAAGAGTATAGTTTAGGGTATCCCTTGGCGAAACTTAACGATTTTTGGCGGTGTATGGATACTGATTGTGTTGCACTTCTTTGACTCGTTTTTGGCTTGCGAGCACCGATTTTTGTGCCAAAAATAACAAGACAACATTGCACAAACTCGGTATCCATTTACACATCGACTTATTTTCACTTAAAAAGAAAACCCCGAATTGCAAAAAATGGCATTGCGCACTCCTTTGACTTTATCCATGTACGTGACCTGTTTTCAATTAAAAAAAAAAATCCCCGAATTGCCAAAAAATGGCATTGCACCACTTTTTAACTTATCCATGTACAGTCGACCTATTTTCCCTTAAAAAATCCCAGAATTGCCAAACTTGCATGCGTACTCCCTTTACTGTCCATGTACACTCGATATATTTCACTTAAAAAGTCAAAGGAGCACCAAATTCTACAATATAGCAACAAAAATATACATATCTCAATTTTTGATTCACTTCCTTCGTACACCCCAGACCATTAACAACCAGAGAGATACCCTGCTGTGTCCTGTATGTTTATGTTTGCTATAGTTTTGTATTTTTAAATGCCAATATTTCTAGAATAGATCTTAAAAAGGAGCACATAAAAAATATTTTATTAAAAAGCATTCACCATAATATTTTCGATTGATGCCAAATCCAACAAGCTTGATTAATCTTTTATAATGAATAGATAGCATTGCCAAATACTGACAACTAAATTAGTCTTTTTTAAACAAATAGAATATATAAAGTTTGATATCCAGATTTGTTGGGACTTCGATTCTGGATTTTGGATTTCTCCAGATGTTAGATCTTCAGTTTAAATGTAATTAGTAAGATGAAATGTAGAAATTTTTAAATTAAAGATATGAAATAGTGTTTTATGGAATAATAAAACATTTATGACCTTAAGGGAAGGAAAATTTACAAAAAAAAAAAAAAAAAGTATATGTATTTTGTTTGCTTTATTAAACATTTATTTCAATGTAAGTTGTTTAAGTTGCTTCATTTTTTTGCCAGTAGATAGACGTAATTTCTTGTTCATTTGCAAAGTTCCGTTCTTCAGGTTCTGTAATTGTCCTATGGAGAATCCCCATTAAATTGTCAGTCAAAATACTATTGTTCTCAGCAACATTTCTGTCGCTTTCTTCATTATTGGGGGCGACATTTTATGGATTTAGAACTATAATGCAGATTTCACTATTTATTGGTTGATTGATGATTGGGGCATTGCCATAGCAATTGAACTCATCTAATATATTGTTACAAAATGTACAGGTGCAGTAAGATGGCTTCCCTGCAAAGCAGTTTTAGGGTTGCCATAAAATGACGGGATAAGGCAGTGTTGTCACATTTGGCAAGAAATTGCTCATTTGGCAACAAAATTGACGATATACCACA